ACATATATATATATATATTATAAATATGAATTTATAAATAAATATAAATATAAATATAAATAAAAAGTAAAAATAAAAATAAAAATATAAATATAATTATAAATACAAATATAAATATAAATATAAATTTATATAGAAAGAAAGAGAAGCGCATAGGAAAAAACAAAGGGTACAGCAAACGTGGAAAGTACAGATGTCCACATTAACAAAGAGAGTTACCGAGCGCATATGTGACTATTATAATTAATATTATATAGATATAAATACATAATATGTGTATGTAATATACATTCTATATACATTATACTATATTATGTATATACATATACATATTATAGAATAAGGAGGAACACACGGACGCAGGACACATAAAGCGTAGATTAAAAAGTAAAAAAAAGAAATAAACAGTAGGACGAAATATAAATAGCCGGCCGACGAGTGAAGCTCATGGTTAAAGATACTCGACATAGTATTAATATTTATTTTCTGTCAATAACGAACCTGGCCGGCGAATACAATTAGTAATAATCGAAAGAATGAACTGATAAAACGAGAAGAGACTCGGGGGAAAAATATTATCGGCGAGTAAATGAAGAAGGAAATGGCGGAAGGTCCCTTCTCCGATTTTCGCACTGTGAATGAGTTCGATACTATTCTTCGGTCAAGCGTGACACTTTCGAACGAGCACCGAGCTGTTCATCGTAGAACGAACCGCTCGTTACGCAATGATATAAGGAACAATGGTCGTCGAGAGCATTTTCCGTGCGTGTGTCTCGACTGATTTGTAAAATTCTCTACGGAAATATTAATAGTCAATTTATCGGTTAGGCGGTGCCCAGTCGGGTCTCTCGAGAGATCCGGACGTAGTATAAGCACTTGTACGAATATTGTAAGTAACGTGTATCTCGGTATGTCAGTGTCGTTCGTACTACACCACGATCGGTACCGAGCATCGTTGTATATTTGTCCTACCAGATTATCGTCTTACGTATCATTCTACCCCGTCGAGTTTGTGATATTACGTTTTCCATGATCATTTGTTCAACGTGTCTTCGTCGAGGCATTGATATCTCACGGACATTGCGAATATCGAGAAACGCATCGAAGATTTCTCCCCTTCGAACGACACGTTTCTGTTAATGCGAATTTTGTATTTGACAATAATTTATTGACTTCAAGAAAAGAGTACGTGTACTCTTGTACTCTGGAGTACATGTACTCTGTATATATAACGTCTGATAGTTCATCCGTAATAATGCTCGTAAATATCTATTTTTTAATGTGTAGGGTAGTAAACCTAATCGCATATTTATTTATTTTTTATTAAACAACTGAAACATCATTTTAAAAGAAAAGTGAACAATAGAAATAGTATAAATTGTATGAGAGAGTAAATAATAATTTATTAGGAATACTGATGGTTCAAGAGAAATTCAAACGATTCTAGTAAATTATCGGAATTGATTAATTTTGTGTTATAAATTTTCTAAATGATAGTATTCGACGTTTCTCGATGTTAATAGGCCTGTCCTACTTACACTCAATTACCGTTTCATTCTATCACAGTCCTTCTTCGTACTGCACTCTTTCATTTCTCCAGCCATTTTCATCGTCGATTTCATCCCGCCATATAGATTCTAAGCAGAGACAGTATTCAACGGATTGGCGTTCTAAAAAGAAAGGCGGTTTATCGTTGAGTAATTAAATATTGAGTTGGGTAGTAAACGCGCGCCCTTGTGTGTGTGTGCGTGCGTGCGTGCGTGCGTGCGTGCGTGCTTGCGTGCGTGCGTGCGTGTGTGTCTGTGTGTGTGTGTGTACAGTGGCAAACTACGGTTGCTGAGCGATTATTTACGGCAACGAATCTCATACGAATAACGAAATTGAAACAAGTGTCGAATTCTTGGAGATTGATTTTGTTTGATATAATACAACACTGGAGTCCCTTATGTTTATCGAATTTATTGAAAAATATTTTTGCATAATTTTAGTTCAATTACTTATATGATAAGATAATATAAAGGAAAATAACATATTTCTAAGTAACAGAAGAATTACTTTAAGTGTTTTAACAATCTACAATCTCATTAGCATAAATTTTATTAGTAAAAATGAAAATACGTTTTACTTTTCTTCGTCAAAGAAACTAGTTCAACTTGATACAATACAATTTTCGAGATTGCATGTTGCGAAATGTATTTGTACTTTTAAATGACGTTGTTTCGGAACTGGTATGCAAAATTGACCTCCGAGATTTCTACTTCACCGAACGCCGATCGTCGGCTTTAATGCGATGGCACACGATTAGAAAAAAGATCGGTCTATTCTCTGGACGTAGAAACTTCGAAAAACTTGCACGCCGCTTTTATACAGGGTGTCTTATTATATTTTCTTTCAACCATCCTTTAATAATAAAAACACATTGTGAGTTATATAAATTTTATTAGTATAAATGTGTATAAAAGTTATATATTATAAATACTGACTCTTTTTGGAGCTGAGATTGTTTAATTATTCATTAACTAAAAATGCCTATTTAATATTGGGAATTACTTATCTTCAATGAGTAATCTGTTGATCTAATAATAATTCCGTTACATTAAATATGTTGTTGTCTCGTGAAATATCTCATCGTAATTGAATTTTAAAATATGTATCTATCGCTTTATGCAAATTCCAAGTTTCCTCGCACCATTTATTAAATTCACTAGATCTTATTTCATTTAATTTCAAAATTGAAGTGTAACACCCTGAAATTGAAATGTAATGCTTCTAACTTATGGGACACCCTGTATTGTTCATAAAATAATGATAACCAAAAAGATTTGTATACGAACAAACTGTTGATTGAACAAATGTTAAAAAATCGAGGAACATACTTCTGTTCCAAAAACGAAGGCAGCTCATGAGATTGCGTACAAAGAAATTTCCACGCTAACAATGAAGTATGAAGTAACACCTACCAGTCTTGCTCACGTAATGTGCATTGCAGTCTTATTTGCCACTGGTGGAAGGTACTTACTTACTAATGAAGAAAGGATTGAACACACAAAGAAAGAAAAAACAGAAGAAATCATTGTGACGGAAACGTTCCTTGCTCTCATTCCGTAAGTTCATTCTCATGACCGGTCTAATCGCGACCTCTATTTTTAAGAATTAGAAACTCAGGAAATCTATCTTCTCATTTCTAACTGCACACAACTTTATAAATCGCCATTGTATTTCTTATTTACTCATATTCATTGGTCACGGTGGACCGGGTGATCTTCATTTATAATTTAAATAAAGGATTATAACAAATTCCTCGTATGCGTTGTAATCGTTCGATGCCGAACAAACGAGTAGTGAGTAAACGGAGTCAGAATCTCCTTAACTGTGAATATTTATCTATTTCTTAAGTGTATGACTTTGTTAAGTAATTTTCGTAATTGATAATCTAATTTACACTTTAAGAATAATACGATTCATTGAAATCAATCGACCGTCTGTACAAAAGAGAAAATTCACAACGATAGTTTATCGTTGACGCTAGCTCATTTACATGTTAAGGACTTCATTTAGCAATACCACGTGTACCATACACAGTAATCGAATTTATGTGGCGAAGGAAACGATCGATAAACAGCCGTCGATTTACTTTAATCGATTAATAAACACCGTCGAGCAATCGATAATTAATTTAAGGTACTCTATGAGACACAAACGGCTCAACTTTTTTACTCGAAACGAGTTGGCATTCGAAAGGACGAACCGAGAGACGAGAGGCGTTTTTATTTTCGAAAACATCTTGCAAGAAAGCAAAGGGAATCTGTTTACTGGCGCGAGACGAGTAAACTGAAGATAAATATAAGGTCACATAGTGGCTGGTAAACGAAAAATGGCGGCTACATACATATCCGTAAACTTTTTCAAAGCACTGCCTGGTTGTGCACAAAGAAGCAAAAAGAATCATTTAAAATGGAAAAACAATTTTAAGAAACAATTCATTTTACAACCGCATTATTCCGGATCATTGAACCTCAACGAAGGCAGAAGATTATTTTTCACGAGTTCAAACTCTCTCCCTACCTACCGACCTCCCTTTGTTACTCATCACCCAGATGCTTCTAAACTTGTATTGCGATCACGAGCGGGCGAAACGCTGTACACATCGAAAATGAAACTTTGCTCATGTTAACAGAAACATTCGGTGCGATTTAAGTAAAAATATATATTTTATTTATTCTATATGAGGACTTAGATGTTATAATGTAAAGGATTACATTAATTCATCTTCTGAAGACAGAAATTCGTTGATTGTTTCGTATTTTGTATTGTTCTAAATCCTCATTATGCGATGCATTTCCACAAATTTCATTTAAATTTTTCAACGAGGAGAATTTTTGTAATTAATAGTTATTAAAGTTATCCGTAATTTAACATACTTTTGGAGGCTGAGCCACTGCTTCTGTTTCTGAGCAAATGTTTAATTAATGCGCGCCTAATTTAATGGTGAATATACTGGCGATTCATCAGCGATTTTGAGTGACATGAGAAAATGAAGGAGAAAAAGTATCTATGAAAGAGAGAAAAATGACGAAAGCACAATCGAGTAGTCGACTTGACTGTCGGTCTGCGAAAATGGGAAAAAATCACTGTAATATATACACTTTTTGATTATAACGATGTAACGCTGCCACTGGACACATCCCGCGTAGTACAATTACCGTACATATATTCCGCAGTATACTGGTACACGTATTATTAATTAAATTGATATTTATTAACGATTAATTATTACATTATTACCACTATATTATCTATGCAATTTGTACTTTGCATTTCAGTTTGAATGAAATAAATGCCTTCTTTTTCATAAAAATAAATTTTCCGTTGTATCTCTTCGGTTTATTCAGATTAAATCAATTTTTGATACACTTCATTAATTATAAGTTCCAGTTCCATTTAATCTATGAGAAAAACAGATTAATTGATTCAGTGATACATTTCAGTTAAGAAATTCTAATGTTCAAAACTTAAGATCTTATTAATTTTTGATTATTTTGATTTAAATTTATTCATAACTCTATATCTAGATTATCTATATATGTATAACAATTATTTTAAGGGGTGGTTTTTCAAACAAAAATGAAATAAAAATCGAGAACAAAAAATTAAGATTTTAATTACTAAAATGTATTTCTAATTCTAAAGTAAAATAAAATGATGCAACCAAAATACATACATTTGGATTCAAATGTGTTCAAAATTAAATAATTTGCTATATTTGACTGCATTTCATGATTACAATGATATTAAACGTAGTTTCAAATCATTTCTGGCAGATAGGGACCACTTCATGTCAAAACAGTATTTCTTATTGCTGCTCACTACTATTAGCTCGATTTCTGCGTAGACCACTCCTGCGAACTTTACAACGACAAGGCTTTACCTCCACGTTTAAAAATGGAATTTCTCGTTGTAATTTTTCCCATAGTTTTTCCTTCATATGTATCATGAAGTCCGTCATTCCCTCGTCCCTACGTAATCAATTTTATTTTATTGTAAAAATTGATCTGTATGCAATTTCTATTTTATTTAATGTCTATTGCACATTCAATCTAAATTTTGTATTTTCTAAATGATTCTGAGAAAACAATACAACTAACTGTCACCGTAAAGTATGAAGGGTTATCATAATGAAGTCTTCCTTAAGACAATACAAATTTCAATGCAAATGTTATTCAGTTTTATTAATAAAGTGATACATGACTACAATTAAAAGAAAAATAATAATAATAAAAAAAATGATAAAAAAATATCCTACTGTTGATAAAAATTATAACATCAAAGAAATATGAAGTTCTCTGAAAATTATAAAAGTAAAATTTTTAGCAAATTTTGAATTGCGTAGACTATTTCATGAAAATGAAGATTAAAGAAGAATTATTTAATTATTTGTCATGAAACAGAAACTATCTTATTCATATAGTAAAATATTCCTTCCTTAATTATTTGTTACTGTGAGGATTATTCATTAGCTGTGCATATGAGAAAAAACGATTTAGTTTCGCTTGCTTTTTTGTGTTGTTATAATTTTTTACGCAGTTTAAGTCAATTAAAACTGCTTTATTGTACGCCATACCTAACAATTGTATAATCCACTGCATCAGTGATATATAGCGTAAGAAGAAAAAACGTAATTGTCACAGTATAAGTCACGAACACCATCAAAGATTTGTTTGTAGAGAACGCCACTGCTACTTCATCGAACTCAAGCTGACGAAGTACCTAATTAATTTAAATATAGAAGGTATTAAATTTTATACAAATTCAGTGAACATTGCTAAATCTATCATATTTCGTGATTTTTTAATATAGGAACCTGAAAAATCAAGTTGACGTTTGTAACAATCTATAGAATGATAAACTGTTATCTTACATGGTAAATTGCTCTCGGCATAGTAGTTACAAGAAGTGCATTGATTGGTGTCCACACGCAAGCAAGTGCGAATTCCAAGAAGAAAGCTGCTACTAAAAACTACACGCACATGTAAATCAGTGACAGGAGAATGTTTTCTTCGAATGCATATTGTGGTAAGCTTTATTAGAGTTATAATACATAACTAGTCGAGCATATTTTAAAAATGTAACCAATAATATACAAAAATCAAGATAAAGAAATAGCTCAACGAAAAGAAGTGAACTACAATCATTTATTAATGAAATCAATGGGCATATTATTCTATAAATGTTTTTATTCAATAGAGGTTTGTTGTAATCAATAAACGTTTGCATATCTATAAAAAGAAAATTTTCAAATTAATTGAAAGTATTACTGTAAATATGTATAATTTGTTATTATGGTTAAAATATTCAATAACTGAAAAGTGGAAATTGACAATTACGAAAGAAAAAACGAATTGTAACATTATATTATTGTTGAATACATAATTAAATGGACTTTTTTCAGAATTTAAAATATTCGAATGTTTTTCTGATGTTCATTCGTGGTATTTTATATGTGTTTCAAGTATTATAATAATAAAATGATATTTACCAATTACTAACCTCATACAACATCAGAAGAACCATTGTTGGTTTCCGGTATGATTGAGGAAAAAGGGTAGAGTCAAGAATAATAATATAAACACCAAGACTGAAGAAAAATGAGCTAAATGACTGACCAGGAAAAAGAGATACACAGTTTTCATCCTCCATGATATTGTCAAAACATGTCCGAAAAACTGGAAGTCCAGAAACATTTAGTAAAAATGCCCAAATTGTAGAAAGCAGTTTTGCCATTTCAAACAATATGATTATATAACTTTCTCTTTATTTTGATATTAATATCAAAAATACACGACCGTAGTTAATTTGCAAATGAATATTTACTTTATTTGCGAGATATCTCGATTTGACTTGTATCATTTCGATTAGTGCTATTTAAAAGTAACCAACATTACAATATGGAGAATTTATAATTCAGATTAAACCCACTTGCCATCTACATACGTTTCATTAGAGTATACAAAAAATTATTGACAACGTTAATTCTACCTAAGTCCAATAAAAACTTAACCAGATTTTAAATTGCAACATTTTTTCAAAGTTCCTTCGTGTAAATAATATACTTTAAACAGTTATTTAAGTTCTTTGAAAAACATTTATGTCTTTCAATATTAATATTCAGTATAGTTTAAATTAATAAGTATTAAATCTTAAGAAAATGAATGAATTTTGTCATCCATAAAAAATATCCTTGATTATAGTGACACTAATTGATCGGAAAGTTCTGCCTTCCAGGTATAAAACACAAAGGGGAATAAAATCAGCCATTAAGTACTACATAGTCTCAATTTTCTCGATCTGTAATTACGTTATAGTTATTTTAGTCTTTATACATATTTATTTTCTGTGTCCAAAATAAATATTTATATGCATCGCCAAAATACGGACGAATAATATGTTACGTACGGAGCTTTCCTGCGTCACTTTTTTCTTTTGGAAGCTGCATGCTGCTCCAGGGGAGCTCGTCCGTATATATAAAGATCTTAAAGGCCCCCATACGCGTTGAAACTTGCGACGATGCCTGCATCGCTACAAATGATTAGATGAAATGGTTTGAGTCTTCCAAAGTTTCATAATACATGTTGTACTCAACCAAAGAGTGGAAAAGACTTAAACCCATCGCTTGTTCTGATGCCTGCATCGTCGCATGTTTCAGCGTGTATAAGGGTCTTAACTTCCTCGCGGGGGTCTACCGGTTGGGAAATCCAGCCCGCGCACACACGTACACTCACCACCATTTTTAGTCCATTTTGTAATATATAGGGACCACCGACTTGCTCATCATCGGGTTCCTTTCGAGTCACGCAAGACAAGAGATACATAGTGAAATCGGGTTCTTTTAGTTCCTTTCGAACACAGTCTAATAGTACGTATAATTACTGCTGAAACTACCCCCGCATTATTCAGTGCGTTAAAAACCGAGAGAACGAAACTTAGACTCCGCGACAGGACACACATTAATTGTATTACATAACTTTATTTTTGAATTCAATCTTATTTAGTGATCACATCTTTCGGAATTGCAGTATTAACACATTTCCATAACGGTACACTTTTACCGCTCGAAATGTACCTCATTCATTTTTAAAGAGTTACAAGGCAAAATCATTCCTACTACCAATCGTGGCACCCAGTGGTGAAACAGACACTGACCCATCTACGATTTCCCTGATACTAAAAATGTTTAGTCATGCAATTACATCACCAGCTCTCGGCTCGTAACAAGTATCAGAATGACTTCACAAATAATATGTGAAGATGATTCAATCTTTTTAAGTTATCATTAATAACACTAAAATTACAATAAAAATTCAATTTATTACAAAATATTACACTTACACGTCAATGGACCAATAATGTACATATGCAAATTAAATCTCAATTGAAGTTCAACATTCCTTGAGATATTTGTTTACGTTAGATCTTTGCTGCTCATTAATTTATAGACGAACCAATCTGATACTTCAGGATTTGCGAAAGTTAGTTTTTTCCTTTTCCCTTTCCAGAATGTCCAAAATGGATTCCTGTTTTCCCTAAATACCATAGACATAATGCTAATTACCAGAACTTCAATTATTCTAAATCCTTTATTTAACTTATTTTAATTTATCGCTCATTAGTATTACGAGAAAATAATTAAGAAACTACATAATTGAATATAAAATAATATTAACATTATTTTATATCATACTATTTTTTTAATGATTTAATTATATTTTTGTCTCATAACTAGAGCACCATCATATTGTAGATATATCTCGACTGGAGTCATGGGAAGCATAAATGTATTGAAATTTTATAGTTAAGAAACTCTACAATGCTGGAAGTATCTTACAAAACTAAACATCACTGGTTCACTACTTGGCCCAAATATCCAAAATTGCATCCAGTGATTCCGTGGCATCAAGCATCCATACGAAAGACAATATCGACATACAAAACGAAAAATGTGTTACTGCACATTCTTTTTCCATGTAATAAGCGAACTCGGTTAAAATGGAATAACGACTCAAATTCAATGTTCCGTTTAACCGAAGCAACTGAAAAATAATTTCAGTAATGTATTGAATAATATTATTTATAGTACTATATTATTATAAATATATAATACTATCGATTAATATTAAAAAAAATAACTATAAAAAATCACTCTAAAATTAACATGTGATAAAATTACTTGTGACACAAAAGTCTTTCAGTGACATCTTGGAAAAAATCAGTTTTTGTTGAAAGTAAAATTAAAGTGTGAAATTCATAAATATATTACATAAATTTTCAATTATTAAAAATTAATTGATTTTCTCTTTTGCATCGACTTACCCATTTACTTGATTCCTGAGTTAAACAGCGTATGACACGCATGAATGGCACCCAAACGGCATGTGTCGCTAAATTTGTGGTCAAAGCAGCCACCAGCATCTATCCAAATATGATATTAAAGAAATTATTATAATGATATTTAAAAAATATGATAATATTCATCAATGAATTATGAAGTGAAATACTTAACAAATATGCTGAAACACAAAGAATACTATACTAAAAGAACATTTAATGATTTATGAAAAATGGTACAATGTAAGTTCATTTATAGATTACAATAATACATTCTCTTCGTAAGAAGTCGCCAGTACAAAACACAAAAACGTTCGCTTTTTTTAATTGTCAAAACTTTTGATAGTTAAACATCAAGAAGTTAAAACTTTCTGAAAACGTGAAAATATATTTACAATTATGCAAAATATTTTAATTCGCATCGAGCGTAACGCTTAACTTAGGAAGATTCTGACTTAAAGTTAAAAAATTAGAAAGTATCAGATTAATTTTTGAAGTACAAAAATCTTAAATGGAACTGATACCGTTTTATCAAACTCGTACGAAACTCATTTCAAGTTTTTATCAAACTCGTACGAAATTCATTTCAAGTTTTTGTCAAACTCGTACGAAACTCATAGGTTTGGGCACAGAAAGAAACCCGAATGGAAGTAATTAGGCAGTAAATTTGAATTAAAACCAACCCATTAGTAATACAGTTACTAAGAAATTATGATTTTGACTCCAGGTTTTGATACTGGATTTCAAGATATCTCAATTTAATAAGTCTCATTCATTTAAATCTTAGAGCCTCCGTAACCGGGTTTACCGCGTCGCGTTATCGTAGCGTATTAAATTGATGATCGCACATGTCTGATATAAGAAAAACGATACGTGTACACTTTACGTACTAAAGGTACGACGGTTTGACGAAATATTGGTACCCGTCGACGAAATATTGATACTACAGGGACAAAAGAGGACTTTCGCTATGTTTTCTTTTCTGTATCAATTAATCATTCTGTAGTTAGAATGGTGAATAGCATATTAGTGGCGAAAATATTATCAGTTTAAAGAATGTACTATTACAGATAACACATTGTATAATATATCATAATATAATACATATTATTATTATAATATTATATCTCTTTCATTAGATGTTTTTCTTTTTATATATTTCACAAATAATCTATCCATTTCGTCATTATTTATTATTATTTATTATTATTTCGTTCTATTTCTTTTTTTTACATGCTCTTGATTTATTTGAATTTTGAGTATTTTAAATTTTTATTAAGTTCTCCATCTCTGGTTCCTTTTGTTCCACGACTTCAGAAAGAGGAATTGGAATACAATTTGATGATGCCTAGTTGCTGCCAGTGTCGCACGATGGTCATATCGACGAATGAAGTGAACGGAAATTATTAATTCGTTGAAATTATCTATTATTTTTACATGACGAGACGACCCGTGTTGAAGAGCTTCATACTCGCATTCTTTGATTAATGAATAGCTTCGAAAAATTTAAATTTTATTCACTATGTAATAATAATTTATTTTTCTTTGCAACTAGTTTTCCAATTGTTTAATAATTATTTTTGTGTTGTAAGACGTAGGTACTAGATGATTGACAAATATTCAGTGTTATATAATTTCAGTTTATAAAATTTTTAGCGTAGTTTTGAACACAAATATCTATCAATACGAAAATACCTGCTGATTATTTATAAATTGAAGGTATAAAAAAGCTATATCTGCTTGATTTAATATATTACAAAAAATCTAGCATTATTCTTACTTCGTAAATATAAAGAAGTTGAATTGGTGGCTCCTTAAGTGTTCTAGGCCAAAGTCTGTATTCCGCGAGAAGGCACAGTACGGAAAATATGAAGAGTACCGATGCGTAAGATGGATCGAAAGGGGAACTGTTTTCGTCATCGAAACAGAGGCCTATTATGCAAATTTGTCGAAGATGAGTATACATGCCTGTCGCCACCACGGCCACCCAATGTGGATTTATAGATCCTAGATACTCCTTTACGGTTTCCATATTCTATTAACAGGTGCATTCAACTGATCCATGAAATAAATATTTTATATTATTAAAATTTTATTTTACCAAGTATTTTTAAAATAAGAGTCAAGAAGAAATTTATTTCCTTTATAAAATATACTTAAATCTTAAGAGAATGAATAAAAATCTTAATTGAAGAAACTCATTTGAAAATTATCAAATTATAGTTAGAGAAAACTCTTAGAATGCAATATTAATACGAATTATAAGAGCATACCATCTAATGCTCTTAAGTAGGACGCTGAACTGCATTTATGCCAAAAACCTGGCATCAGGAATACTTTCCGATTTGTTCTCTCACTTTCAAACAACGAGATTTTTTAAAAAAGTAATTTGGCTACGATTGTTTTAGAGCTGAAACTTAATTCCATTTCCTTACTTCGAACGACAATTAAATAATAAAGTTATAGTCACCACTGCCTTTACGTATTTTGACTGTTAATTTAACATTACTGCGTATTTCTTCTTTTATCAGTTAGTTAGGTTACAAGTGTGACATTTGTTGCGTGGTGGCAACGAAAACCAACGCCTTCTCGACCGCGTCAACATAATGATATAATAGATGTTAATTTTACAATTATTTACAAATCAAGTAGCACAAAGAATTTGACAGATAAATCTATTACATTCATACAAAATTGAACATGAAATTCTGTTGTCAATAAATGAATTGTGGTAGTGTTGAAGATTTCTATATTACGAATATCTGAAAAAAGTAAGGATTGATTTTATCAATGATAAATTTTTAGAGATAGGGTACCGGCACCCCTAATATGGAACACCTGAGTTTAAAAGCTTGCCAGTGCGAAAGATATGCATTTCGTTTAATGAAACCTGCATCAAAATGCGAAGAAATTAATAAATATTCATACGCTAATTGTTAATATTGCAAAAATTTTAATGCCTTAAAACCACGGTAAAAACTGTAAAAAAAGTAAAAAATAGCTAGTAGAGAAACGATTTGTAATATAGAACACTTATATAAATAATAATTTGTAAATAAAACTCATTTTTATCACAAGAAATGAATATTTATTAAATTAGAAAGGACAAATAAAGAGCTGTCCCACTTTTTCTTTTATTTTATATTACGTTAAGTTTTTTTCTTCACTTTCTGTATCTTAGTGTATTGTTACGTAATCTTTGTACGTATCATATTATATTGTGTATTTCGTGAAGTGTGTATCTTATGTTAGTTGTCTTTGTTTTATTTGCGTTTTTGTAAGCCGATTGCGGATTGCAATACCCTAACATGGAGTGGAACTATTATTCTATTGTGTATTTCTTTTACGTAATGGTGTCACTTATTGGCAAGAGGTAATGTAGCCGTCCTCCTATTGTCTTCGTTTCTTTTTCGTGCGAGTCTGTTCAATCCTGGTATCTATCTAGCGACCAGATTCATGCGGGCTCGAATTGACTTTCCTGAGTTTTCCCAGGCTTCGTTCGGAGCTGTTCAAAGTCCGCGAATAGACTCTTGCGAACCTCTTCGCGTTCTTCTTTTGTAACCATCTTCCGTAGTCGCTATTTTCGTCTACCCTTACCTTACTCCTCCACTCGACTTTCTCTTACTATCTTATTCCTTTCTCCTGTCTACATTTCTCCAAGGAAGGTCTTGGGGCGAGGCAGTCTTACCCGAGTTATCGACGAGACGAGTTCCCTGCACACCGATTGCAAAATATTAAATAAACTTGTGTTGAAGAAACAGTACAGAGTCGAGTTATTTTCCACCACCAGTTCCTCCACAATTCTTCTATTATCAATGATTATATTTTAGCAAACATAAACGTAAAACATCACCAGAATGTTTCTCCATTTTTTCAGTGAATTATTAATGATAAAATAATTGTATTTATCGTGATTGAGAAACAAATTAAAGGGCAAAGGGTTAAATTCAAAAGTATAAGTAGGTCCTTCGCAGCAACCTCCTCGTAGTGGACCTGGAAACTAGCATTATCACCGATAGAGTAGTTCCTATTGAGGACCATACTGGGCCGATCGGCTGCAAAATTGTATGATCTACGTTAAAATACGCCAAGTAGTTATTTTTTAGTTTAATTCGCTTATTTCGTCTGCTCCTCCATTTACTCCGTAAATCGATGTGACCGATTCGAAAAATTACGATGTTTTGTTTGTTTAAATATAACTCGTTCGTGGCTATACAATTAAAGTGCGACAATCTATTTTATAATATATAAGAAATATCATTTATGTTTTACACAACTGTATAGAGCATCAGAGAGAACGAAATATTATTTTAGCATTATGGAACTAAACAATATTACTACATACCTGTTAATAAAAATAATATTTGATAATTGTAGCAACAGTTATTGTACATATAAAATTATTATTCATTTGGCTTATGTATAAATAAATATGTTTATAATAAAATTATTAATAGAAAGCAAAATCATTATATCTAATTTCAAAATAATATCTGAAAATGTATTATACGTTTTAATCCTGAATGCTTAAAAATTTTGTTAGAAACATTATAGTCCAAGTAAAAATGTTTATTGAACTTCAATTTTATTTGTCAAAATTTCAATTATTCGAATAAAATCTATTGGTATATAATTTATTGCAGAATTTTCTACAAGTGCATAATTAAACAAAATAATTTCTTATATAAATTTTATTCCTGTAATTTATATAGTAAATGTATTTATAAAAATATTTTCTTTTGTAAATTAATAAAAACCGTATTGTCATGAAGTTATATTAAATACTACTTCTATCGTTTAAACATATGCACCTTATACATTTGTTGCCACTAAATCATATGACACAGTCGTAACAAAACTAAAGTAACTCGCGTGCTCGGAGTTTGTAGTCATTGCAATATTGTAACGGATACGTTTGTATGCTGGTTTACCATATTTATTACTTGTTCAATTTCGATCATCTTTCTTGATATAGTTTTCCGATTGACTGTTCTATACACGTAAAGGGCAAAGCAAAACCTCTAATTTTTATACAGTCGGTAATTCAGAACATGTAATACCGAGTTCCATAACCTTGCAATATCTATACTATACCTCGTTTACGATATAGTTTTCCTATTCACCGTTCTCTAGGCATAAAGGACAAAAAAATCCCTGATATTCTACATAGCCGATAATTCAGAACATCTGACACGAGTTCCCTAAGCTGGCAATGTTTATATGTACATCTCGTCTGTGCTACAATATTGTCGTATACCGAAAGTAAATAATTTGTTAAACTTTTAAGCTATTATTTTATAAAAATTAATATGGAGAAAACACATCGCATTGATCGAATATTTTTCATTATCTGCGTTAAAAATTTACAAATAAATTATCAACCCATTCTTTACATACATTCAATTATTCTTATAGAATTCAAAATTATGAAATTTATTAGTTACATTAGTATGAGTTAAGTTTAAACAAAATATCCATTCTTATTATAATATATCCATATATTATCCATTCTTCACTAAAATATTATTAATTTTAATAATCTCAGGTCAATTGTGAAAAATTACTTTCGTATTTATATTTCTGAAAATATTAAGTATGCGGAGAAATAGAGATTATAATAGTGACATTGTAGACTAACGCAACAAATTTTATAAATTAGAAAACTTGTAGGACTTTACACAATTGAAATCTAAAACTTTTTAAACCGTGAATTTTATTTTTAAAAAATACATTCATATTTGAATAAAATTTGTATTAAATTTAATAATATATATTTACAACATTATGTAAAGTAAAAAATGTTGCAGAAGTATTAAATTTAAATTAATTTAGAGATGCATAAATGTCATCAAACATGTAACTTCTAAAAAAAATGGAATATTTACAGAAACACTTAGCAAAGTAAAAGCTGATTTGTTCACGGAGAGTAAAAACTTAGTGAGCTGTAAAAATAAAAAAAAATGCAAATTCAGTTCTCCGACAGTTAAAGACAGACAATTTCAAAAAATTAAGGCTATATAAAATTAAATGTGTAATAATGCGGCTTATAAATTTGAATGTTAAAGCATCCAAGTAATTTGGCATCACAATGAAATGAATGCTATAGTATTCACATCCGCGAACGTGTTATGAAAATTTCGTATTAGGTTATGTCATAAATTAGTTAAAAGAAAATCTGATTTCGAGAAAATATTGTTTAATATCGATTTAAATGATTGAAAGTTGATATTGATAAAATTTATATTTCAGGTAAGATACTCAAGAAAATCCTGTTATTTTCTTATCATATATTAACTTTTACGTGCTACCAAACACACTTTACTATAACCCCTTAACTTACACAGTCCAAGACAGAAAACTCAATGTAATAAATTGATAAAGTCATGTGCCAGATCATCAGTGTAAGATTAGACATCAGTACGGCAATACGTTGCGAACAGTTTTAGAATTTTATACATTTTATATTACAGAGCTGTGTAATAGTTAGAATTTATAACATCTGTTACTTTTTTAATTTTTTTAATTTATTTACATTTTAACAATTAAAATTAATGTAAGTAATAGTTTTAAGAAAAATCATATATCTAAGAAAATCTATAAAAATAGTCTATTTACTAAATCACATTATATTTTTATTAATTAATCGAATTATGCAGGCAGATTATCTTTTTTCTAATATATATTTTGAAAAAATATTAATATTTTTGATATGTTTAAATCTATGATGCAATATATGTCAAATTCTATGTTATATGTGCATGAGTTTATTAATGTTTTTTATACGCAGTTGTTTTATTTATTAAAAGACAAGTATTTACTTTTGTCTGAAGAATAGATTATTGTTTTATACAGTAAGAATTAGTTGTATAAATGTAACATATTTTTAAAATAATCTTGTTTTAATTATTTAAAGACAAATTATATATTTAATATTAATTAAGTAATGCAGTTGGTATGGCAAATAATATTTTTAATAGAATGTCAATGGAAGAGGGTTTTGCAACAAAAGCTATACATGCTGGACAAGATCCATTACAATGGAGTCACTCTGCAGTGGTAGCTCCTATTGTTACGTCTTCAACTTTCCAACAAGATGGACCTGGAGAACATAGAGTAAGTCTTTTAAGGAAAAAATTAAATAATGTAATAATGTACTATAATTTATTAAATTTAATAATTTTCCAATAATTTAAAACGTTTTATTTAATATTTTATATAAAAGATTAAAGTACATTTTATGGTTTTAAATAAGTATTAAAATATATTATAAAAAATTGTACATACATTTACTTGAAATCAGGGTGAAGCTATTGATATTGATCGAAGTAACAAGTAACTTTTATAAACAAATGTAACTCATAGATTTATTTATATTTATTTAAAAGTGTTAAAAATTTTAATGTAAGCTTCTGTTATTTATTATTATTAATATTATTATTTATTGTTCTAGGGTTATGATTATAGTAGAAGTGGCAATCCTACAAGGAATGTTTTAGAAACATGTTTAGCAGCTTTAGAAAATGGAAAACATGGATTTGTATTTGCATCTGGTTTAGGTGCTACAGTAGTAATAAATTCATTATTAAAAACAGGAGATCATATTATATCTGGAGATGACATTTATGGTGGAACTAACCGTCTTTTTAGAAACTATTTGTCTCAACATAGTATTGACTTATCATTTGTAAATACAGTTAACATAAATGATATCATATCTGCTATTAAACCAAATACAAAGGTATAAAGAAATTTTTTATGTTAATAAAAAATACGTATCATTAAAATTGTTTTTTAATAATACGTATGTTTACATTTTCATTTAGATGCTTTGGTTAGAGACGCCTACAAATCCTTTACTTAAGATAATTGATATCAAGGCTGTATGCGAAACAGTCAAAACCAAATATCCTGAAATTATTATAGTGGTAGATAATACTTTCTTAACTTGCTACTATCAGGTTGGTAATACTTTTCATTCAGTACTGTGATTTAAGAAAATGTATTCTGTTACGTACATTTTTATTATAGAGACCATTAGAATTAGGTGCAGATATTGTAGCTTATTCTTTAACGAAATATATGAATGGGCATTCAGATGTTATTTCTGGTGCAGCAATAACAAGGAATGATGAGATTGCAGCCAAACTTCGATTTTTTCAAAATGGTAAATTTATATTATTTCTCTAACTTACATGTTCAACTGTTTCTCTTTATATTAAATTAATATTTATCATTAAATTGTTTTAGCTTTGGGTATTGTGCCATCACCTTTTGACTGCTATTTAGTTAATCGTAGTTTAAAAACATTGGAACTTAGGATGCAACAACACATGAAAAATGGATTAGCAGTTGCAAAATTTTTAGAATCACATCCTTATGTGGAGAAAGTAATTCACCCATGTATGTGTCTTTATAAAGTATTGATTATACTACTTCTAAAAAATATTATTATATTGCTTTTAATATATTACAAGCTTTTTCAAAAGGCATGATGCTGTTAGAATTTATTATGCACTTAACATTTGACATGCTATATTATTTAATAATGACAGCTTAATTAAATTCTAGATCTTCCATCACATCCACAGCATGAACTCGCCCTTAGACAAACATCTGGTCATAGTGGAATGGTTTCATTTTACCTTAAAGGTGACTCTAGGAAATTTTTAAAAGCATTGAAAGTGTTTATATTAGCTGAATCGCTTGGCGGATATGAATCTCTTGCTGAGTTACCGTAAGTGAATAGTAACTATATTTATATCTGTTATACAAGGTATGACACCTAATTCTGCCAAACCTAATTACTTTCTTATTTGTTAAAATACAAAAAACTATGGGAAAAGTAATTGTATTTCAAGGTAGAAATACGACTGTGAAAGTAAAGATCATTTTGAGGTTACTTCTAATATTCTCTAAGATTTTACTAGTAGTAATGTTATTGAAAATAATCTATTTCTTCTTCATCAGTAAGAAAGTGAAATTGCGCTGAAAATTTTGCAAATCCTCCCATTTAAATAAGTATTCCTTTCAATAAAATCTCAAAATATGTGGAATTAAAACTTTTACTCTTATATCTTAATTTTCTTCCGAAAATATAAGAACTTTTTCCCAATACATTTCTTGCATCCTGACAAATGAAAGAATAATTAAAGGTGGCAGAGTTATTATATAGCACATCCTGTACATCTGATTGGAAAGAACGTTTCATTTACACATTGTTTTCATAGATCTGTTATGACACATGCATCACTTCTTGAAGAAACAAGAGCAGAATTGGGTATAACTGATCAATTAATTCGTTTATCTGTTGGCCTTGAAACGGAACGTGATATTTTGGCTGACCTTGATCAAGCCCTCACAGTTTGTCAAGAAACTGATTAAAAAATAATGAAACTTGCATTGATACAGGAACTTCATGCAAATTCAAATGATAAATTATTAATTTTTATATTACTATATACTATATACTATTATATTACACTATATATTATAATACTCATTGTCGCTGAAAATTAAGAAAATCTTAAGCTAATTGCCGCGAATTTCTAACCTTAAAACAGGGACAAAAATTAGAACATTTGTTTTGAAATATTAGTCTTGTAACGATCTATTGTTTGGAAGTTATTATATTTGAAAAGACGTGAATTTACATTAACGGCAACTAGGAATAAAATTTTAAAGAACTTGAATTTTCGTCAGCGGCCGTGAATACGTCAAGGCGGACGATCACTAATGCACACTACGCAGTCACACGCAATAGACCCGTTACCCGTTGCCCGCGCAGGCAAGTGACTGAACAGTCCTAATATATAATGGCATAAAATATTATATTTTTCATGTAGTTCCTTTGTACACAAATAATTGATTTTCTTCATGTTATTTATATCCAATGTACTTTCATGATTTGGATCTTATATAAAAAATGTTTGAATGTATGAAACTCTACAAATATTTGTTATCAAACTATTAAAATAATTCAATAGTTAAAACAAGTAAATGTCATTTCATGTCAAACAAAATACTTTTTGGACCCAGTTTATGCGAATTTGTCAGTTGTGAAATCTACGTGAAGTTATCACTTTTTTAAATAGCTTAATGAAAAAAATGTGAAAAAATATATTTAGAAATTTGAACTCGTTGAATCCCGGATAGCTTCATATGCTTGACTATCGGCGCCAGAGTTTTTATTGAACGAAATACACATAGTGATAAAATATGTCAGATTATTTAACTGAATCATCGTTTTATGTTATATTATTAATAATATTGAAAAGTTTAGTTAATGGAACTGCTGTAATTGACATGGTCACCGATCGGCCTTACTGGTAAGTCAAGTACTTGTCATTAGCGATCCTTGTGGCATATAATGTGTAAAAATGTCCTCTACAATATATGTAACCATAAAAGCTAATTGCTAAATTAGTTGCAGAAGTTGTTAATTAATAACAGTATTGAACTTCATTTAATTTCATGTGGACTGCATGAAACATGATCTGCTTAATACAAGAATGTCTCATAAAGTACTTTTATTAAATCAAATAATTTATTTGTAATTAAATTTCGTTATATAATTAAAATAATTTGAATAGATATGTATATATTATGCAATATTTTCATTTTATTTTTACATAGTATTTAATGTTTAACATAATTCCTTATGACCTTGTTAATTTGTACCGTCGTATATCTTCAATTAAAACTTTCAGTGTTATAAAATGCATTTAGAATGCAAAATATATTTCTGCTTTTGTATTTTTGCAATGAATAAAGTACAGCGTAATAAAACTTAATACTGAATTTGTTATTTGAATTCTTTGTGTGAAATCATGTGCTTAATAATACAAATACTTATTCTAATTAAATGTAAATCCTTATTAACTTTAGATTTATGTTACTGAAAAATTAATTTTCTAACTGTGTCGCAATTTTCCCTTGTTTAGACCATCATATTTTTGTGCTCGACTATACAATAGCACTCCTGCTATTACCAAACATGTTCCCAAAGCCGATAATCCAGTTACCGGATTGTTAAATAATAAAACAGATACCCAAATTAAAGAAGCTCTCTTTGCTGTATTGGCCACACTATAAGAAAGAATACATTTAATAGATGGTTTTACTTAAATTAGATTTAGAAACATACCTATGCGTTACAGGACTAACATAATCCATCAATGCATATGCAGTGATACTTTGAAAATGGAAGAACACTCCATTAAGAAGATAGGCTGTGAATAATTTAAAACTTAAGGAATGCTCAAGTGTTGGTAAGTCTAGTAGTAAAATTGACACTGGTATTTGCACCACAATTGATGCTAAACTGGTATAAAATTGTAACTCTGCAGGCCTGTAATTTTAAATAGTAAATATAGTTTAAACAAAAGAGCTACTACAACTTCAGATGTAAATAATGAATGTAATACTTACGAGTACCTAAAATTGTTGCCACTGATTAACATTTTGGAATAAACATTTTGCAAACATTCTGTTACATTTGTGGCCATAACAGCAATAAATCCTCTGACATCGAAACTGATTTCATTCACTGAACACAGAGCTAAACCACCCATTACAGGAATTAAAGATAAATTTACATATAACCCTGTGTGTTCTCCTATAAATAAAGTAAAAGCATTATTAATTTTATTTACTGCATAATTTAGTGAAAAATTTCTTGAAGTACAAATTCTTAAATGGTTAAAGATAATTTAAGTATGGTAAAAAATGTTTATTATAGATTAAAACAGGACTATAAAATATAAAAGATCTTACCTAATAAATATCTGCTAATAAGGACGGTAAAAATTGGCGCGCTACTTTTAATAGTTTCTGTGAAACTCACTGCTACATAATTGAGTGATACTAATCCTAGTACTACTGTTGTAAATCTTGTACATCCTACCAATATCATATGTTTATAAAAACCTGCTGGTTTTGATAATCTTGATCTTGTTCTATACATTCCACATGGAAAATACATTTGTATAAAACCACATATTGCTGTCATTAACATCTGACAGGCACCTGTATAAATAAATATTACTTAAGTTTAATTTATTTCATTTTTAACTATATTTCATTTATATTTCTTATTACATTAAAATCTGTTAAGAAATTATATGAAATAACAAGTATTATTATATAAAAGAAATGCATAAATCCATCGTATTGGTTGTTTGTATTTCCAATATTTATATATAAAAAACACTGTTTAAAAATAAACAAAACATATTCATGTATAAAATAATACTTATACTAATAAAAAATCAACTACAAATGAAATTTGACTGTGTTTGGTTAAAAAATTATATGTATAAAATAAAATAGTTGAAATATGTTTTTCATGAATGATTTCTAAAGCAGGAATATTAATACATTAAATATGTTTTTATTTACCCAAAATTGTTGGATTTCCTTCCATGTAAGATAATATGTATTTGTTTAAGAATAAAGTACACCCACTGAAGAGGAACCATAATGCTACAAATATCAAAGCTCTGGAGTTAAATAAACCACCTTTAGTTTTATTTGTATGTACAATTATTTCTTCAGATTTTCTACTATTCTCCTTAAGTTGTATAGTTTGGTTATCATGTATTAGTGGTTGTTCAGTATCGTGTGGTGTTAACGTATAATTTATGCGAACGGAATGATTTTCCATTACACCATAAATAAAGGGTGCTTATTGTTTTCGAATAGAATATTACAACATTAATGCATGTAAACATATACTCTGATCTTGGTTAACGCTTTCTCACCGGTGAGATCACATCTTCGGTACAGCCGGTTAACGTAATATTGATACTCGTGTCTTTCCTCCAAAAATAGATTGTAGGTTATGTTTTAAGAGAATTTTAAATGTACGATAAAAATTGCAGTATTAGTATGACAAATAGCATGACTATATAAAAATCTATCGATAATACTGATATACAGTTTTCTATTCGATTAATCATAGTCCTCTCACTGTATCACATTTTTGCAAACTAGTAGAGGTCGGTTACATTCATTCATCATATGGATATGCACTATACATTAGATATTATATATATAGTATTATGTGTTTACGAACACTTTGCTAATATGTTTATATAAACACGTATTATATCTTAGTATAGTGATATTTACTTAGGCTAGCTTTCTAACACTTTCATTATTGAATATTTTCGCAGTTATGTTATGATACATAAAAAAATACTAAATTAGATTACATATAAAATATATAAATATAATATCTAAAAGTTTTATTTTTATGTAATTTTGTATACATTTTTGGTTATAATTTTATTAAAATAAATTTTATACATATTAACAACCAACTTTTGTTATTTCATTTATACAGATTAATCAAAGTATCAAATAATGATGTCTACATATTTATATAACAATATTATTTTGTTTGATTACAATTCAGTGGATGGTGTATTTTCAAGTACATCATTTTGTATTCTATTAATAGTTTTGCAGCTATGTTTTCCAATGTAATCTTTGTACGATAAAAGTGCTACATTTCTCCCACTTATTGCACTCATTTCCATTGCACTGGCTGCCCATTCAATAGCATTCACATGATAAAGTGCATTGTGCAATTTAAATTTTGCCTCATGGATATGTGTTGAATATTCAGGATATGCCTTCCAAGAAATCTCCTTCATTTCAGTAATCTAAAAAGAGAACATTAAAATATTTCTATAGTTTCTGAAATTTTGATATTAGATTTTTATAAGCATTATTAACGTACATTTGAAAACATTTTATTCAGAACTTCTGATTTTAATGGAGCATTACTAAAGATTTTCCAAACTTTACTATTCCCTATTTTTCCCATTACAGAATTTAATTTTCCCACAGAATTGATTATTGTTTTATTAGGATTACAACTAAGGATATTATCAATTTCTTCCTCTGAACCAAAATAATGTGGTTTTAAATCAGCTTTAACAAAAGTAGCTATAGTTTTATGATATTTCTCTGCTCCATGAAAGTCATTATTTGGGAATCCCTCAAAATCTATGGGAAACTGTTGATCATTGGTAAGCGAGGTAGCAATAATTACAATATCATATGTTGATTTCATTGTAGTTGTACCAATTTTACTATCTATAATAAAAGTTATTATATATTAAATCAGAATAAGAATGTTATTAAATAATTAATAAAATACTGCACCTTTAACACTGTAATACACTTCATATGATTGTTTGCCATTTTCTTTTACAGTATTAACAATTTTTTCAACATATGAAGGTATAATATGTACATTATGATTTTCATATATTAAACGTTCAGGTACCTAAAATACAATATTGTTAACTGAATGATGATTCCATGAATGGGTTTACTGCCTCATTATATTGTTATTCAAAAATATAATTTCACACTCAAAAGAAAAAAACCTTTTTATTTCCTTCTTTAACAGACCACAAGCTGAAACCCATTCCAGCTAAAGATACACAACCAACAAAACTATGGACATTAGTATCTTGTCCGTAATTTACAATTAATGTTGTTTTAACAAGTTCATCTATTATTTTTTCTGAATAACCCAGATTTAAAAGATGATTTTTAATAGATACTTGTAATAACTTTGGAAATTCATTATTCATTTCTGATAGTAAACCTGTTACATTCTCAAAATATTTTCCAGCATCCTGTAAATCGTATATCTTTGCAAAGTCATTTAGTATAGATTGTATATATCTGTTAAAGACAAATAAAATTAATTGTTGTCATAATACCAACTAACAGGATGTTTATAAAATTATTGTTATTGTCATATACAATACCTATTAAGGCTGAATGGTTGAGTACCATATCTATAAAGTAGTTTAGCAAAAGATATTACGTTCCAGTTACTTTCCTCAAACACAAATTCATTACCATTCCAAATTGCAGTTTTTTTATCATTAGTTTGTTTATGTTCTAAACCTATAAAAGAAATTCAATTTCATTAAATGCATTCAAAATGATAAGAACGTAATATAAAATTATGTATTATTACATAATATACAATACCAAGTAATTTAACAAATTCTTGCATATATTTATTTTGAGGATGTATGATCGAACCACCAGCTTCAAACAGGTCATCATCAATTTCTACTGTTGCTAAACGTCCACCAATAGTTTTTGCTTCATATAAATCAATGTTAAGGTTACTTTTAAATAATTCTGTAAGAAAATGGGAAGTAGATGCTCCTCCAATGCCTCCACCAATAATTGCTGAAATATTTTAAATATATAAAATAAACAATAAAATATAATTTGGTGATACTACTTTATTACATACAATACTAAATTATAATATTTTTATCAAATAAAATATTTTAATACCACTATATTTTTCCATGATCCAATTACATTATTGCAATTGTTTTATTTTGAATGTTTAAAAAGTCGTACAATTGAATAATAATGATTTTTACCCACCTATGTTTGGTTTACAATTTTCAAAAGAAATTCCTCTTTTAAAGAGTAATATAAACAAAAATATTATTCGAAGTTCCATAATTTGCATTTATCTTATTACACGTATAACCTTTTAAAGACTGCTTATTTATGCTCATGCTTATCGATCAAAATTCGCCGCAAACGAAATATAAAAGTACATAGAATCACATTAAAAATACACTTTTTTGTCGCCTAATCTGTTAAGGCTTCGGATTTTAGAACCCCACCGATATTCTCTGTCACTTGCAACATTACCAACCGAACATTGATAAGTAAGAAACAATTCTTATCACGCATGAGAATCAACCTTCTTTGAATATTTATATCTAAATATAAAAATATTCAATATAAACGTAATATTTTTACATTTTTTTTAATGAAAATATTAAACATAATAACAAATACATCAAATAAATAACTTTTCTTATTTTGTACTTTTTATTCTGTATTATACTTATTTAGTTTTGTTCAATGTTTTATTCTTCTCAACCATTATAAATGTTTTAACTTGTTATAAATACGTTGACATCGAGGACCTTAATATATTTCAGCAAACTACTTGAGCAGATGAAGCTCAAAAAATGTCAAAGTATCATCCATTTTAACGACTTATTTCAAATGAACCAAATTTTATCAATGTTAACATATTTAAAAAATGTTTAAGTTTCAGTAGCACTTAAAAAGAACAAAGCTAAGAAATATTCGGAAATGTATAAAAGTATTTATATTTTTTTGAAAATTGTCAAGACTTCTTACTATCGACCTTATTGCTAATGCATTTAAAACTAAACCCTTCGGTGGATGTCTTCTTTCTTGTATCTTTGTAAAACGAAGAAAAGTGTTACACGGAGAATGATCGATATCTTCTTTCTTGCATGTATGTCAAACTTAAAATAGCTTTTCTCTTAACTTAACATGTTCGTGGACGGTTATTACATATGCAGTATTTTCGCTTTGCTCTCCTCTTCACTTGGGTCACCACTACATTTGTAGTACATTATCTTTTTTTAATTTTTATCGTTAATACAATAGAAAAACTTATAAATGAAACTGTCTGTCTAATTTACGTTCATCATATATAGTACAAGAATTTCGTTATTCTATTGTCAATAACAATAAAAAATTCACCTAACAAACATCGAAATTTAGTTTCTGGAGATTGCTCATATCAATACGTCCATGAATTTGTTAAAGTGTACATGGCACGCAATTACTAAACAAAGAAAATGAAAAGAATTCATGTTCTATCGATTTTTCCGTTTAGCACATACCGACGAGTTATTGGGAAAAGATGAGGAAAAGGGAAGATTAAGAAAGAAGTCTTTGATTCGAGAAAGTGAATCGAAGAATAAGCTTCGATTAGCTTAATAATAATTCCAAAAAAGAGGAAGACACTAAGATAAGATTTAGCGTATCTTTACCCAGGTACCCAACATTTCTCATGTCTCGTTTTCAGATTATGACAAGTGCAGAGAGAATTCTACACGGATTACAAGGAGTAGGATCTCGAAACAATGGCAAGTTCTGAGTATGAAAGTTTTTAAACGCTAAATCTTCTGCAAAAAAATGAATGACTACGAGTGTTGGCAACACGAAAATGAAATGTTGCGAGGGTGATTAAACCTACTTGAGACACGGGTAGATGAAAAAATACGATCTACGCGAGAAGCGGGTAAATCAGAGGGATCAGGTATACTCGGGAACTGGATATATGTATTAAAACGAACAAAGCTGGAGCCAACAACGTAATGATTCCTTGAATATATTCACCACCATCAGCATGATCCTTTATAGAGAATACTTTATCGAAGGTAATGCTGTTTAAGCATAGGTCTTACTGTGTAGAATTTGTTGTAAATAGGAACCCAAAGACGAAACTGAGTTTCTATCTACCTTCTTTTTTAAATTTTCAATTAATGATTCTATTACTATTGAACTTATTACTAACCCATTTAAAATTAAATTTCTCAACGAATATCTTCTTTCTTGAGCCTACCTTGTAGTATCATTATATAATACTTATAATCTTTAAAATATAACTAAAGTGTAAAATAATAATTTTAATCTTCTGTCAACAATATAGATCTCAAAAGGTTCGAAAATTTAATTATTTAATTTCTCTAAAACGAAGAGGACACACTGCTTGAGCCCTCTACCTAAAAAAACTTGCATTCATAGGGGTTAGACACCCCAAATACCGTTCCCCGTGATCAGTTCAATTTCAAGTTTTAAGAGGACGAAATCATTTTTGTTCCTCTAATTGGTCTATATTACCGTCTACGTTAGTGTTTTGGAAGTATTCAATGCAGAGCAACAGCGTGAGAGGAACACCAAATACAGTATTGAAAAAATTGTTCCTTTTAATATGCATATTTTGTGATTTATTTATAATTTATTTTTATACGTTATTTACAATTTTATTTTCCAAAATAATGACTTACTTTATTTTCCATTTATATAACACACTAAAAAATCTCGTAAATTGAAGTCTCAAAATAGTTATACTTCTTTAAGCGCTGGCAAATTTCTTCATATTTTTTCGAAAAGTTATAGTTTTATAGGTAAAGTCCTACAACAGCTTTTTTAATATTCTCTTATTACAAAGTTATGTATCGTTAAAAAAAATTTTATTTTTTCATGATTTCACTTCGGGTTTTAATTTTGATTGCAAACTAATACGAAGATTTAGCTAAAATGTTATTTTTCTATTAAATTACAGACTACAGCAAATATCTTAGAATTCTTTCAAATTTCTGCAAAAATCACACCAATGAAAAATCAAACCCAACCATAAATGGTTCAAATTGTCAACCATATCAGGGAAAAACCATATTGCCAGCGGAGGATTAAAAATTGAGAAAAATTTTAATTTGAAAATAATTTTCAGTCTCATTAAATGACTGTGAGATATTTGTGTATACAGGCCAATTTTATTAAAAAAGCGTAAATAATAGTTTTTGGTAATAGTAAGTTAGAAATTTGAAAGAATGTAACGAATTCTTTTGCTACTCCATTTATATTGCTCAATCAGAATTTTAAACTGATCAATGTACAAAAATAAATGCAAAAAAACATTTAAATAAATAATGAAATATATTTCATAGAGCACATATAAATTACTATTGTTAATTTGTATCAAATATGTATCAACTTTCAGTATCTTATTTGATTAAAGATGTAGCGTCATTCGCCATATTTATTTTCGGTCCACAGACACCTGTGAGCATTACTTCCTTTTGATTCATATCCACTTGCGTTGTTTGACAACAACGCCAAAGGTACTTAAATTACTGTTAATGTGGCTCATTGCTCTTGGCAATCTTTTTTTTTGACGTGTGAAATAAATGTAACGATAAGGTATTATCCTATGTTCAGTGAAACAAGTGGATATAAACGCACACACAAAAAAAGGTGAAGATTATTCGGGCGTCGTTGGACAGCATTGGGTGTGTCATAATGAAGATTGTTTATACGTTTTTGGCGTTAGCCTTTTTACAAACAGGTAAAGGACTCAGATATTTACTTGCACGTACTCGCTTTGTACGTAATAGTAGCTTTTCATTTTTTTGTTGAAACATTGAAATCTGTTTCATTGATCCTGACCGCAATGCCGATAATGCATTCATGTAATGTTTACAGAACATTTTACGCAATTCAATAATATGATGTGATACTTATGTAAGGTCACATGATAGATTGAATTTGATATTTGCCTACTGTTATTTTTATTTTATCGTAATAAAATATTTGCAAGTGGATATTTTATTATCTTTTCAGTGAAGGGCCAACGTACACCATCAATATCTTATATTTCTCAAGAACAAATTAAAGATATTGGAGAAACTGTAGAGTTCCGTTGCTCTGTCCAATATGCACAAGAATTTCCGGTCATATGGACAAAAATTAATAAAGATATTGCTAATGAACAAATGCCACTTTCACATGGTAGTTCTTTAATTATAAGGGATACCAGATTTGCCCTTAGGTATGATGAAGCTACATCTACCTTTGTATTGCAGGTAATTTGATAATAATACATTTATGATTATAGGTTTTCCTTAAAACTTAATTATTTAAAAATTTAATATTATCTACCCGAATAAATTAACATATGGAATTATGTATGTTATAAATATTTTAGGTAAAAGATATACAAGAAACTGATGCAGGATTTTATCAGTGCAAAGTACTGATATCTCTGAATAATTATGTGACTGCTAATGTAGAACTACAAGTTCGTAGACCACCTATTATAAGTGATAATTCAACAAGAGCATTTGTTGTCAGTGAAGGACAACCGGTGCAACTTGAATGTTATGCCGGTGGTTTTCCTACACCTAGAATTTCATGGCGTAGGGAAAATAACGCCATTCTGCCAACTGGTGGATCAATTTATAGGTAGGAAACTGATTTTTGATAGTGTTATTATATTAAACATATTCATATGAAATCTTCAATAAACAAATTATTCTAGTGGCAATGTATTGAAAATTCCTGCAATTCGCAAAGAGGATCGTGGAACATATTATTGCGTTGCTGAAAATGGTGTAGGACGTGGAGCTAGACGTAATATTAATGTTGAAGTTGAATTTGCACCTGTGATTACGGCACCAAGGCCACGACTTGGTCAAGCCTTACAGTATGATATGGACTTAGAATGTCACGTAGAAGCGTACCCTCCACCAGCTATTGTTTGGTTAAAAGACGATGTTCCATTATTAAATAACCAGCATTATAGTATATCACATTTTGCAACTGCTGACCAATATACTGATACAACGATTAGAGTGATTACTATTGAGAAGAGACAGTTTGGAGAATATGTCTGCAGAGCTGCTAACAAATTGGGCACTGCAGAAACAAAGGTTGAATTGTTTGGTATGTATTTTGAAACGTAATTAAATGCATTATAAGTAAATGTAAATACACGGAATATTAATTTTCTCGTTGTAATCTTAGGTATAAAGCTGTAGAGTAGATAAATTTATATATATATATTGTGCACGATAATGTAAAAATATTTATTTCGTATTTGATGCAGATTATATTGTGTTCATTATATGATAATTTTATTTGTTTGCCTTTATAAGAATTTGTTTGACTTTTCAAATTTTATTTTAACGTTATGTTTAGTAGCTAGCATGCTCTAGAGTTTTCCTTGTCTTGTTTGTGCAGAAACAACTGTCCCTGTGTGTCCACCAGCTTGTGGTCAAGCCCGTTATGGGGCTGGAGTAGTACCATTCTCTTCAGGGCCTTTGATAGTCTTCGTTTTATTGCTTACAGTTGTTATGAGGTATGTTAAATAAATCATAAATGTTTTTTTCTTGCTTTATGATAGAATTACGTAGTGCAATATGAATTATTTAGTAAACCAAATATATAAATACATAGATCGAATTGACGGAACAGAATAATATACGATATACAACCATAAATCGATAAAATACAAAACACACACATACCACGTACACGCCAAATTCACTCACAACACTTTACACCCATTATATCATTTATCATTCGTTTAACAGTGTAAGATATTTGAAATGGTGTAGCTTGTTATGTTTAAAAAGTAACGTCGTAATTTACAGAAATTTCTACGCCAAATATTAACTACCCAGGACTTCGGTGGGCAGCTGCAAGTCGATGCCACTTATCTAAATGGCTGCTGATAATACTGTGGTTCATCATTCTCAATAGATATTAGAGAAACATCATCGATAACATTAGGGGCCTGATTTGTTTTTAATACCTTTTAGATGATTATTTTTGTAGTTATTTACAACCAAAATTGAATGATTACTAGCGCATATATAAAAATTATTAGGGGCCAGCCATATAAGAGTTGTTGGCAAGGTACAAACTAACATTCCAGATAAAGTACATAGTGATGCGTAGCAAAGAAGAAAAAGTAATATTACTGCGTACCAATAGTTCGATATATAATATATATATATATATATATATATTATATGTATATTATATAGTTCTTTTATATATCAGTACAACTGATGGACGCGAAGGAAGTGATTGATAATAATGTTACGAGTGTATCAATACAACCTTCCAGATAGCTCTGGTAGGAGCTCAAAAGTGCAGCAATACAATTTTAAATACTTAATACTTGTTAATCTTCTATTAAAAATACAAAAACTCGAAGTAGCAATATTCTATAGTTGCCTTGTTATGTAAAGTTCGGCAAACAAGAAAAGTTGAAATTTAAATATACATGTTAGTACCTTGGATCGTGATGATATGCAAAGCATGTAATTCGTTTTCTAGAACTAGACCAATGGTTGTATATTGTAGACGAAATTATTTATACAATTGCGACTAGGATATTTTATATGTGTGTTATGCGCATAGACTGCATACTCATAACAGGGATCTTTTTCTTCTCGTCTTTTTTAGACGAATGCGCGAATATCGTAAGGACAGCAGAAGCGTAGAATCTCATTAAGTAACATTTTGTACGACCTTTTTACGAGTTTGCAATTTTATATTTACTTCTAGACTAATATGAATTTTAATAAATGAGAATTGCGTCACATTCCTGTTTTATCCTTATCATTATGCCTTATATATAAAAGACTTAAAAGAAGGTTAATAAAAGCGACATTATAAACAGTTTTTCAAAACATTTCATTTAATGATTAATTTGATTTCCTACAATTTAAACATTGCCTTGCTGATGTCTCCTTTTCTCAGTGCATCCAGAGCTTCACGGTATTCAGACAAAGAAAATACTCTAATACCTAACTTATTGTAATCAAGATATCTATCAGCCATTGCTCTTAATAGAGCCAATCCTTTAACGAATGAGAAAGGATTTATATTTACACCAACGATATTTAATTCCTTCTTGTAAACCTGTAAAGAAACAAAGAAAAATCTAAATCTAGTGCAGCTTTAGCAAACAACTATCACTGGAAAAATAATAACTCAATTATCTGGAAAATAATGATATAATAGTGAATCGGTAGATACCTCGTATGGCTCAATAGTCAATTTCGCGTTAGGTTTTGCGACACCGAAGATGCATAAACGGCCACCTCGATTTAATAATGGTACAGCTGCCTCCATTGCTGGAATCGAGCCACTACAGTCAACGATTAAGTCATATCCTTCTTTTAACTTATCTGGACTCCTTACTTCATAATTCAAATCTGAAAAATAAGATGACGAATAGTGTCTATTTAAATATGCAAAACAATACATTCTTTTTTAAGAAAGATAAGAAAGACATTCGAGTGCAAATTCTTATTATGTGACATTTGAAATCTTAAAAACATACAAGCTGTAGCATAAGGAATATTAAATGAAAGTCATCATAGTACTGATGTATCTAATGATAAAAAAATATAAACGATAATAATATTAAAAAATAATTGTTCTTCGATATATAAAAATATACAAATTTGTTACAATTATTTGGGTAAAATGTTTTGTTGTTTGAAACAACAGTTTTACGTATGTCCATTGATCAAACGTCGGAGTTATGTAATTCTTGACTTCTTTCAAATAAATACTTATCTAAAATAATTAAGTGAATGTATGCTTGTTCAATTCGATAATAAATTACTTGTTTGATATAATACTATAATACATATGTCAATGATAAATTTGCCAACTATGCGAATTTTTACGAATTCGAATTATATTCAATATTGTATCTACTTCAAAGGTAAAACATTGAAACCAATAATAAAAGAAGAGAAACGCCTTTTAAGTCCCTAAATTCCTTACGAAAACCAGTATGAAAAGAATTCTACAACAATATGTAAGAAAATAATAATACTAAGGTGACCAATAGAAATACTTGGAATAACGAATAATTAATTGTTCGAATGAATCTTCATTCGACTTATTCATTAACAACGAATTTAAATTTTATTCGTCTTTCGAATAAAATTTTACCCAAGGCTATCAGACGTTTCAATAAATGGAAACATTTAAAAAACTGTCGGTTCAAATTTATTCTGTACCAAGTTTGGACACCATGTTGCGTCGTTTCTCTTGAGGTTCGCTGACCGTCACGGTTTTCCTAAGTCCCTGTATATGCAATAGACAGGCCCACAAAAGGCCAATTATTCCGGCACCAATTACGAGCACATTAAGACCGATGTTAACAGGATTAATCTTGTCCCATCCGTGGGCCATGCAGGAGAGTGGCTCTGTGAGGGCGGCGTGGTGTAGCTCGACGTCATCAGGCAACGCGTAAACCTTCGAATAATAAATACACGTGAAAAGTAGTACTTGTGTAGGGGAGAGTAGGGTAAAATGGAACACCAACGTTTTTCGTAGATAAGGAGCTGGTATTGCATGGCATAGACCTAATAAGTCCTCGGTATAATTTGTGATCGTCTGCAGATCAGTGTACAAGTATTATCTACGAGAAACATTGGTGTTTCGTTTCACCCTACTCTCCCTTATGTATCACGCGCGAGATCGGAATCGAGGAACGTTCATTATTTTTCTATATTCGTACGCGTCGAGGACGAAATTAAACAAGGGTTTAAAATAAAATGTGAACTCTATTTCGCAGTACTCAGATGACCTGCGATATAAGGGCGTAGCTTATCCCTTCGATCGGACGGGATTAAAATGAACTCCACGAAGTTTACCAAGCCGTTCGTTGGATAGCAAAACTATTCGCGTCGTGACGCAAATAGCTTTTTTAAGCGTATTTTTAAACGAGATTCTATGCGACTCTGGAAGCTTGTTGATCACGACCTTCCACGTGAACCTATTTATCTTTCCTTTGTTTGATTTTATTATTCAATCTTTTCATATCACCAAAGAAAGAGGGTTTTGAAGTATAACCGTTCCTTCAATAATGTGGCACTTTTTTACGTGGAAAATTATAACACTATTTACGCGGTATTGTTTATACGCGATATCGATTTACGTGATCTGAATATAGTGACAGCGAATAAAATTTACTTTTGTTTCCTGAAATATCTTTATTATTACTTTTTTTGTTAAACTATGTGAAATAAATATGTATTTTCACAACTTATATCAGTTTTCTTTCCAATATTTTCTTTTCTTTTGAAAAATTAAAAAAATGAGAATATGAAATTTTATTACATAACTATTTAGACATCATAATACCGGCGATGGTAACTTTATTTATTTGATATTTGATTCATAAAAATGTTCAAAGGAACTTGTTGAAATATGTATGTATGTTTATGAAAAAGTTATTAAAATAAATTTAAGTAATTTCTTTCATGTACAATAAAAAATGATGAAGAAATATAAATGATATTTGTAAAGCAAGAACACTGACGGTTCATTGTTCAAATGGTATATACGTAGAGCAATTTATCATTTCAACGATTCATATTCGTAATGGGTTTTGCTATCGCCCACATAAGAAAGATTAATGGCAAAAGAGATGAAATAATCGATACAGTATAAAACAAACGAAACTTTCCAAAACGTGCAGCTTGGGATAACAAAATTCTATGAAAAATTGAGCGCTGTTGTACTTTTTCAAACATTTTTTTTAAATATTATACTTAACAATAATTACAAATTTTAAGGATTTTTATTTTTACTATGTATTCAATAACGTATGCACTTTGGATTCTACTTGGAAAGACAATACTTAAAGAAAACAAACATTTCGGAACAATTCAATAAAATATTTATTTTATTATTTATTAAGTTGTATGAATTTATCCTTATTCTGGTTTTTCAAAATTATTCTATAGAAATATAGATAAAAAAGCAGTTCAAACATGTTCATTGAATGTTTAGTTATGTAATAAAACTTATTTCATAATAGACCTTTATTAAAATTAGTCGAAAATTGTTTGAACGAACCTGTGTTTCCGGTACGAGGACATGAGTAGCCCACCCACCATTTCTATAGATACCTATAGTGGTGTTTAAGCCACCGGCACTACAGAAATGGTAACTCCCGCCATGACAATAATCGCACTTGTTGCAACCACTGTTAGGATCGACTACTACTTTCTGGCCAACTTTGAAACATGTGATTTGTGAGCCGATAGCATCGACTGTACCCGAAAATTCGTGGCCAAGAGTCAGTGGACCGTCTGTCTTACACGGAAACTCTCCCTGAGAAAAACACAATATATATGAAATTAGTACGAAGTTATGACTCCTACGGGTAAACATTTTTAGAATTAAACATTTAATTTCACATGTTTACGAATTCATTTAAAAAAGAATCTGAGAACAACACAATATATTTACGATAAATACGAAGCTATGACTTCTTTTGGAAATCATTTTTAGAACTAAATATTTAAACATTCATATGTGTATAAATTCATCATGTCTTATATTTCAAATTTGTTACAATGAAAATGTAAAAATATTTTGATAAAGTATTTAAACAAGTAAGCGTGTAAATAAATTCTATAAAAATGTATAAACGAATTTTCAGGAAATATTCGTTTTTATATTGTTTAATAGGTATCTCTGAATTGTTTCAACCGCAAAACGTGGATTAACTTCATAGTAAGAAATATCTTGTACCTATATATTGTGTACAGTCAAACCTGTTTTTGTGCGGTCCTTTTCTATGCGATCTTTTTTTATGCGGTACATGAATTCCAACGGTGTTGCTGTTATTTTTTAAGTGACGAAAGCGACTTTGAACCAGTTCATCACAAGAAGATGCGCGTTTTTGACTACGACGAGTAACAGTGAATTATGTGCATTGTGAAAATTTCTTCATGTATGAGAAATTAAATTTTTTAAAAATGATTCCATGTGTAATTTAATTATTTATTTTTTTCAAAGCACTTTCTCACTATTTCGTAAATTTTTTAACATCTTTTTTGTGCGGTTTCTTTATGCGGTCCCTATCTACCATACAAAAACAGGTTTGACTGTATATAGTGACATATATAGTGACTCACAAGTTTATTCACAGAAAGCGGTCATATTTACGTGACTAAATTGTATATAACATTTTCGTTTCCACGTAGGTACAGTCACCGACAAAAGTATTCATACAGTAAAAAAAATCTGATAAAAGTATAGTTGTAGTCCATGAATAATTTTACTTTAATGAATATTCATGTAATTAACTGCTACGAATTTCTATGCAAAGCAATCATCAAATTACGCTATAGAAATTACATTTCATTATATTTGTGTTAATAAAATATGAATTTAAGTTTTCTTACAAAATTGATTGAAATGTATAATTACTTATTCATTTTGAAATTATAACAATTTTCTTCAAAATGTCTTCGCCGCATGAATATTATTGTCTGCCACTGTATGCATCACGAAAGGACATTATAAATAATAATAACAATAAAGATAAACAAACAAAAGTCACACAGAATTTTGTATACTTCACGTAAAATGTGATTCATTCCAAATGCTTAATGATTTGAAATTTATGTTTTACTTTAGAATATAAATTTGTTTAAAGGATAACAATAATTGTTCATAATAACTTTCAAATTAACTTAATTGAATTATGTACGATACTTTACGTGGTCGATAAGTAACATTTAGTACAGCGGATGTTATGTTGGATAATTATTCATCAACGAATATATTGTACGTATCGTTCGACCATAATTTGTATCTCTGAGGACACATTCATGTTTGAAAAAATTGTGCGACGTTCCTGTAGTTCGGCCGTGAAGCGTAATCGGTGCACAGCGATTAAAGTCACGTAACGCCGAAATTACAGCGACGAACATAGAGGATTATACACAAGATTAAAATTATTCTTCTCGTGCACGGACATGCATCGAGTATGCATTCTACTTTAAATAAAATGTTAAATATGTAAATTGAACGGCTGAACCGGGGCGGTACAGTGTAACTGGAAATTGGAACGTTAAATCTGCCACAATGGCCACAAAATGGTCAAAAAACATGGAATGCGTAATACCCTCGGGCGCAATAAAAATTTTACAAAGAAGTCAACGTTGCAGCGGGAAAGCCGCAAAAGTAGATTGTACATTCATGTTGTATGTATTATCGTTTCCTTTTGTTTATTCGATGAGTACCATTATTAGATACATTTTACCTTGTTACCGTATTTTTTGTTCTGTTATAACATTTAATGGGAATCATTACAAATTTTTCAACTTGTTAATGAAGTAAACACGAAATAAGTATAGGGGAAAGTAGAGTGAAATGGAAGGCTTTTTTTGGATCGTAACAACAAAATAGTTTTGGCTATAAGGAAATAAAGGATTTTTTAAAATAAAATTGTTTAGTTACGAAGGAAAATGCGATTTTCTAAAGGTATCGAAATATTCGTTTCGCAGAAATAGTAGAGTAAAACGAAACACTCATGTAAAATCATATGAAAATACAAAATATTCATTTCTACTGAATCAAAATTGCTAGCTGAATGTATTTAATTATTAGCTGATATAAAGAAACTATAAATATGTATGATTTTATGAACAAAAGTCACAAATAAATGTGTTATCTCCTTTTTCTACACTGGTCCAATCGAGTCGATCAGTTTTTATCTCATCTTTGATTCCAATTTGCTATACATCAATATGCTTATACGTAACCAATTAAAACTATAAACAAGCACATAGCATGGGACTCTTGTTGCCTTTGTGCCGTCCCGTTACCCTTTAAGACCTGGACGGACAGTAGGTAAGTATGTAGAGCGTTCCATTTTACCCCACACTAAAGTGTTCCGTTTTGCCCCGCGCATTATAATTTAGAAAAGCAATTAAAATGTACAGTTTGGCATGAGTTAAAGAAATAACTTAAGTGTCAAAAGTATAGCGCAAGGAACGTAGAATCCTGTACTGTAGTTATCTTGTTCAATTTTTTAGTCGAAAAGAATATATTCTTGAAGGTAGATATTTATATTAATCAAACAACCATTAAGTTCATTTAGAATTAACTTGATACTTTCTCTTCTTTACGTGTTTTTCTTTAAATAACCTTTGAAATAAGTTTCATACTATTTGGATATACGTGGAAAAATTAATGTTGATTAAAGGATCAAAAATATTTTCAGATCGTATAAAACATTAGTTGCTGGTACACAATTCTTCAAACATGATAATAGTCATAACAATTCAGAGTTACTGCATCATTTAATAATTTAAACTACTAAAGTACTGGTATCTAGTACTTCCTTTAATCCTGTTTGCTAACAGCCAGACGATGTGTGATCTAAGCTGCAGAAATTACTTGAGTGGGGTTAAAATAATTTATGATGCTCTAATATTTTTTATTTTATAGATTATACATCACTCAATAAGGAATTTTTCAAAAATTGCTTCAAGGTTATACGCAAAATAAATTTTACCGTTTCCATGTGATTAATAATTATATTGAACCTTGATAAGAAAAAGTGTGTATACACATAGAGTGTAAATAATTCCAACCGTATGACTCACACGCTGTTGAGAGTTAGAAACTGCAAGAATCATTGTATTCATCTACATAGTACAATACTTATTATGTTTATAATGAACCTTGCCGCTTGTAGGTAACCAAGCGATGAGAATTATTTAGTATTTTCATAGAGAAGAGAAGCAAGGTAAATCGTTCCATAATTGAACACACAAGGATTTAATCGTTCAGAAAAGTAGATATTGTCTTCTACATTTACCTATTCTTAGTTTTACAATTAAGTCAGTTTTTTAATATAAAAGACGCGTGCGCGAGAAAAATGTAAAAAAATTAAAATTGTCCGACGTCTTTTTGATTAACATATTTGTGCCTTTTAGTGGCTATTTTAATATCCCGTTTAAAATTTTCTATTAATTTGATTTTTCGGTAACTATTTTTACAACAAAACAGTACACAAAATAAGGTATTATAATTTCAAAAATTTGTAGAATTATATGTATAGAAATACATATAATGGATAACGAATAATTTACCTAATTAAATTATTCTATCTACACCTTGTGTTTTCTCATATCGAAACACGAGAGCACTGATGAAACAAAAGAAACCGGAAAGTTAGACGAGTGAGTTTGTGATGTAATAATGATAATGAAATAATATATACAGTTATTGTGGCGACGCACGTCTAGAATGTGAAGATCGGTCCCACAGACTCCAGAGTATGCTACTTTAATCCGAACTTCATCTGGTTTCGGTTCGGGGATCACGGTCTTTTCCAACGTGAGCGTTTTGCTCTTCGCATTGAAGCTCAAATACTCCATCGTGTCGCTCGTTCGGCAGTCGGCACGTGTACTAACGCAAGTTGGCACTTCTGTCTAACATTTATATCCCTGTTGCGACATTTAATGTTTATATATTGGGGCCGTGTGCCGGCAGTAATCACTAAACGGTCGCGCGTAACGCGTCAGAGCCAAGATCAGAGGACAAACTTAATTAAGCGGACTCGAAGAGCTGTGTGTGTGTGCCGAAATCCAGACGCGCGCGTTGTATTCGGTATGCGAGGTACCGTTCGGAATTGCCGCCAATTCAAATATACTTATTCAACACTTAAGTAAAACTACTAAGCAATTGAATCGATTAGTATTTATTTCGTTACAGGAACTATGAGAGTGATTTATATTTTAGCTTAGGTGTTATTATAGAAACTTAATACTAGAACTACTAGACGGGTCAAAATCACCCATTACTGATTTCTTCCTTTCGCAATTACTAAACGATGTTTCTCTGAGAAATTATTCAAGAAATTGATTTAGTAATATGCAAACTAAATTTTAAATCAATTAAAGTCCCAATAGATACATTCTTAGAGCTTCCATAGAGGAATTTCAAAAAGTCTGGTGGTTCTAGTGTTAATTCGTCATTCTTTTTGTATAATTTTAAGCTGCTATTGTAAACAATCATTCAATGTATGAAAAAATAATTTTGATTAAAGTTCAAAGAGTTTTCAATAGGATCTTTTCTAATCTGTTTTATTTAGAATAATGTTTTATTCGTTTTTTAATGCACTATTTTTATATTATAAATACTTTTATACCATGCACGTTAATAAAATAATTTCTATGGTTTACATAAATTCTATTATATATTTCTCATTTTTTAGTTTTTTGCTTATGAAACAAAGATTTTTAAGTTTTTTAAAACTTGTTTGTACTGATATTGAAGCTGAATGTGTATTAATAACAAATTTACGAAAAAAGTTTTCATTCCAAGTTTTAACTATTAGTTTTTTGCTGTTAAATCTGAACTGGTCTGATTCATCTTGGTCTACCCTACATCTAAGAACATCAGAAAATTTCACACTTTGTTAAGTATCAATGTTTATTAAAGTTTTAAATAAAGCAATTATTTTTTGTTTATTCAATATATCTTGCAATTTATACGTTCTGCTTCTTACGGGGTACGACTTGAGCAACCTTGTTGTATATGTAATGATTCGAAGAGGTATCGGTTATTACGGCAAGATGGAGATAAAAATTGTATTCATGAATTCTAACTTAAAATATTAAAATCTAATTTTTAACAATTGGAGAACAGAATGTATCACCCATTGTTGATATTAAAGACCGGAGAAACGACCTCAACTTAATTGATAAGGGAACAATGTAACAATAAATTGTATTAGTCTCCATCGAAGGGGAGTCGTCGCATTCTTTATTATTCAATAATTTGAATTCACCGAAAGATGCTTTCTTTTCACACCGCTGACCATAATTTCTTCCCGGATCGAGCAAGAAAAAAGTTCCAAGTGAAAAATGGATCCGGAGAGGAAAGGCGCGGAGCTGTCGAGACTCATCGTTCTGAAGGGTCTCACTTTCAAAGTGACGCTTCCGATAGAAGGTTTGCATTGGAATGGGATGCCCTTTGTCCTCGAGGATCACTTTCCAACGAAAGATTTACAATCCTCCTGGTGAGATTGAACGAAACCTCTCCTAGGGATGCGCCAACGTCGAGAAACTGGAATTCATAGAAATATCTATTAAGAAAACCACGTGATATATCTTTTAACAAGAACACTTTAAGTTCTTGTGCTATAATATCGTGTTAGACTCACAATGACAATTTTTATGTAATTGAATTTGATAAATCTAAGTGTTATGTACTTTTATTAAAAATAAACTAAATGTTACCTTTCTATTATTAGTACATAGAGATAAAGTAAGCATGGAATTTTTTTATTTGCTAATGAGCTATCAACGATAAAACAGTTTTATCGGACAGAATTGTGAAAGAAATCACAGGACAAGAGGTTAACACTCTGTTTCCTCTATATGGTTCCATATCGTTTTATCCAGAAACCGACCATAGTGGTAATATTAATGGATTAGATAAGTTTCACGGAAATTCATTTTGCTTTTATAAAAGAAAAATATATAAGATATAAGTTATAATTTGTTACTTGTCTTTTAAAATTGATTCTTCCAGCTACAGGTGGAATTACAATGGCCATTTCAAGATGATATCTTTTATAACTATTGAAAAGGATTAAAGAAACTAATTTAGTAATACGCAAACTGATATATAAGCGAATCGAAATTTTAATAAATGCATTCTTATAGTTTTTGTAAAAAAAAATGGGAAAAGATCAGTTTGACAGTGTTTAAGCACGTGACTGGAGGAACTATCGTACTACAGCCCTGACTTCGTAGCTCCATTGAGGGTGTTAGTGTCAAAGCAAGCTTCTGAGGCTTCGGCTGTTAACGAAGTCGATTGTCCAGTGAAATTTACACCATGAATCGGCCGTGTACCTGCTGGACCGTCTTTTATTCCCGAAGTGGTTCAGGTGTCGTCTCAGGTATACAACGAAGTCCACAAATCACTGGCGTGGAAATCGGAAAAAGGAACGCTCCTCTCGTCCAGCACAGACGGTTGGTTGTCCGTCACGGTATTGTCGTTTCTCGGAAAAGCGAGGCGTTTTCGGAAACCAGAGCCGTCCCCGAAAATTTACGAGATCGGATGAACACCGTGCGAAATCCACGAGGTGCGAGCTGCAACCGATACGCGTGACAAATAACTCCGGAGCCTTTCAACCGTGCAGGTTGTAATTCTACCTGCCCCGACAGTTCGAAATTCGCCGCGGAATCTATGGCTCTCTCCCTTTTCATTGTTCCACGAAGGAGAAGATCCTGAACGTAATGACATCTGTTAGCGAAATACCTTTCTACGTGATTTATTTTTGGAGAAGCTGCGCTTAGCAACTTGAATACTCGCCGTTGTAATTACATTTCTCAATGTGTTCTTGACTAATTATGATTCGGTTTGTTCTTGTTTTAATCCAATATAATTCTTTGACTCTACAAGATAATTTTGATACATGCAGTTTCAATAATCGTATAATCATTGTTTTATGTTATAGAAGATCATGTTATTTTTATTTATTTTATAAATATTAATGCTACAACGTTATCGCGAGAAAATCTTTTGAGTGAATGTTCAATAGGTTTCTTTGTTACGTATTCTTGTTTTCAATCTTTCCTAGTTATCAATGAAGCGATTTTTCTTCGATGTTGTTTTCATGGTAAATATGCGATAACCCGTGATTTCGAATACGAGAGTGAATGTTCGTTTGTAGATAAAGTCAGGCAAACATTGTGTGTAAATAAATAGTTTTCTTCTCTACTTCACTGATAACGTTGTAAACTATAATCAAATTTTTTGTTAATCGACTCTTCTGATCGATTTTCCGATAACTAAAATTTTGTTATACTTAACTACGATTTCATTGGCAAAGATACTCAAGAATTTAAAAAAAAGAGTGAGTTGCTGTGACAGAGGTGACTTAAAAGTACAAAATGATAAATATGTAAAGTAGGGATGGTAATACAATGTTATATAACATTGCAACAATTATATTAAAGAGTGAGGTATAAAAAAGAGGCTGAAAATAGCGTGTTTCGCCGTAATTAGTGGAACGAGGAGGACCTTCTGCATTGTCCTAATTTTAAATGGAACGTGGACAGATATCGTTCTAAAATTTTACGAGAATATTACTATCAAATTTTAAACATGTGGTAATGAAATAAAATGTTTCAGTAATTGAAAAAATTATTGTTATTTTAATGTATTGTGTTATGTATTTATCCTTAGGAAATAGGACACTAAAAACAGTTTTATTCTACCGTAAAATTTTATCAGTAATGTATATTTTCTATCCTTTACTTGTACCTACCGCGTACAAAAGTATTTACTAAACTATAACATATGAATGTAAATAGTATTTACCAAATTTTTAATTTTATTTTTCATTTATATGCATATATAAAAGAATTTATTAATAACATGATCGCTTCTTTATAATTCTTTTTCTATAAAAATTACGTAAGAGATTTATCTAGTTTCAAGCTTTTTGAACTTCGCGTTTCGAAACTTTCGGTAGAGTGGATCTTTCAGCCGTGACACAATCTTTGTTTACCTTCTTAATCAACAGTGGTAGATAGTCGCTTATTACTGAAAAGTTTTCTTGTCAGTAAACACATGTTTATTATAAGTAATCTCTCATTATTCTCATCATTATTACAACAATAATAATTGTCTTCATTGATGTCATTATTATTTCTAATTATTACTAATATTCTTCTTATTATTACTATTAACTCTTTACACTGCATTTACTCCTCTACGTACATATCCATCATTTGCTACACATGCAAAAATTTTTCCAAAAGTATCATACCACAGCGAATCACAGAATGTAAAATTCTAGTTTACTTTCCACGATAACAAACTTTCTTTATAAAATAAAGAAGAAGCTACACACTCGTAAAATTTTCTTCTCAAATTAAAACCATTTATTTCCAAACGTTTCATCGTAAAAAAACTGCTCGAGTTTCCTGAGGACAGTATCGAAAAACTAAGCGAAGTGCAAAGGGTTAACCGATTGGACCTCCAGCTTTCATCAAGCTTGCTCGTTGGGGGTTGCGCGGAGTTAGCGTTGCAGTTTCCGATAGCTACCGTTCGAATGAAAAAAAAACAAGTGTTTCCCTGGCCTGTAAGTTTCACGTAACTTGTAATACGTAGGAGGTCGTATACATGACGCGACAGGTGATAATGGCGGGCTTCTTTCGGTGGGAACGGGGATATTTTTTCGTGGTGTTGCAACGTGTATGCGGAAAATTCATTCATGGCTTGCTAGAATGGCTCGGGGGATGAACGAGCGTCCTTCGATTCACGAGAAATTTCGGGTCAACGGGACGGAGCCGGGATAGCTGGCTGTACCGGGAACCGGAAATGAGGTCGGGAATGACGTCATCGCGTTCAGTGCCGTTCATTCAACCCCCGGGGATAAACTGGGTCACCAGGCTAACACCGACCCCACTCCGCGATCGG